CTGTCTGCCAGCAGGAATATGGTTTTAAATCGTGTCCTTCTGTCCAACAGCACTCTTATGCTACTCTAGATTCTGTATTCTTCTTGCTCTTTCCTTAAGATACATACTTCTTTGGATATAATTTGCTTTCCTTTTACACAGTGATTAATTTTCAGGAAAAATGCAAAAGACTAAATTACTTGTCATTCAAAACGAACTGTTCCTGTTAATTAGTTAAAGGGAGCTGCTCCACTGTTAATTTATGAAAATGGCCAGCAGAAACTCCACTGAACTCAGTATTGTGTTTTATCAATTTGGCTTCCATACTGATGCCTAGCTGATGTGTATAACCTAAAAAAAAAAAGAAAAGGTAATTTTAATAGCCAATTTAATACCAAATCCTCTGTTTTAATTGTCAACAAAGCAGTAAGCCAAAACTGAATAGCTGCTTTGTTCAACACAGCAAGACTCCCCTCCACTGCAACCACTGAAGAAACAGCAGGGTCAATTTACAGCATTTTACAAACTCCACTCAATGCTCACAGACCAACTTGATCTGGTTGACTTATACAGGCAAAGAGATTTAATGTGAAGTTGTAAAATTTATAATAGTAAAACTATAAACAAGCTGGTAACGCAACAAAATGTTAAACAGAGTCTTTCTGTCTTATTAACAGATAAAAGTGTCTAACCCAGGTACTCTACTCACGTGTTGGGAACTGAGGTAAACATGGGTTACCATCATCTTGTTTGAGCTGGATTCGTACTCTACCTCGGTACTGCATGTCTCTGTTCCACTCTCTAGGGTACATCTTGTTTTTCTGTAATGTAAACGATAACACAGTCATCCACCACTTAGCCACGGTAGCAGTATCCAAAGCTAGAGCATTAACTTTTTCAAAAGCACTGCTGCAACCAGCCACTGCTGCTGAACAATTTAGCGAGTAAACTGCTACAGGGATTGTTCTACTTCCCCACCAGTCTGGACTGCAGTGACAAAGGTTTTTGTTTCATCTCCACAGCTACAAACCTTTCTGGACACCTAGAGACAGTAAGTCACAGGTTTCAGTCTGAGGCTCATTGTTTTTGGATACTCATAGCCTTCACTCATTTCTGTTAAAATGTTACAGGTTTCTTACTGGTACTGGCTAATTCACAGGCTGGTGTACGCTAACAGGAATACATCTGACTTTTTCTGAAAAGTGAAGTGATTTTGTACTGGTTTTTGGATACCAGTCACACTCTTAGATGAGGACTTAAACTCTTAGAAAATTCAACAGTATTTTAAATAATTACTTCAGAAAGTGAACTGTGAAAACTTACCCCTCTAAAAACCCAGACTCATTCCCTAATAAAAAAGTAACCAACTTAAACTATTTAAAGAGCAAGCAGGAGTTGCTGTAAAAAAGTTAACATTCTCTGGTCAAAACACCAAAGGACTCTGAAGTTCAAGCATCAGAATCCTATTCTTACAGGTAAATCATTAAAAAATATGCCTTTTAAAAAGCTTAATTTACAGAGCTGCAGCTTGCAAAATTAGCTTTTATTCTGACACATCTTTAAGGATCAAGGATAGGCTTCTCAGAAGGACAGTTAAATAAAAGTAATCTTTCTATAAGCTTAAAAGTGTCATTGTCTCAGAGGTCTGGATTATTCCCACCTTGCACACAGTTTTCCAACATTTACTTCATCGTTATGGTCAATTATTACTGAAAGCAAACAAATGTCTACACTGATAACAAAAAACCTCTCAATTGCAATCTACCCTGTCTGTAAGAGAAGATATAATGAAAGAACAACAGAAACATATACCAAGTTTATGGGGGTTTTTTATGGTGGATGTTTTTTTTTTTAAAAAAAAAAATTACCTCTAATAGCACGTTGAACCCAACGGCTGCACATACATCTTGGATTTCTGTAGACGTGGGATTTTCAACAGCCTGTTGAAACAATGTGTTGCAGTTAATTATTTTTCAATGATGAACAACTATACAGCAATAGTTAGCTGTTAGCAAAAGAAGAGATAACAGGAAATAGGTGATGCAGAATTAACAGGAGCAAGTAAAATAATTGCTTAGGAAAAGTAATTGAAATGAAATAACACTTATTATATTTACAAAAAAAAAAAGCACCATGAATCAGCAACAGCAAACTTCTAGCAAGGACTGAAGGAGAAAATACAAAATTTCTAGGCACAGGGCAGCAGATTCCTCCCATGGATAGCTTTTTGATTGTCAACTTGCATGCTGAAGAAAGATTTTATTTTTAACTCATCAGAAAAAATCCCCAACCCTAAGCAATGAGAAGAGCCCTAAGCAATGAGCAAGCCCAGCTCTGCTTGTTAAAAATGTTATAAAGGAGTGAGATGATAAAAAACTATTTCTGGACAGATTAAAAACAACAACTACCAACTCTATGTGCCCGGTGCACTGTAGGTTCTATCTTTGACAGCAGCAAAGGGGATATGGTACAGAATACAGGCATATATTGTCAGTCACCAAAAAACAATCATTAGCCAGCTACTCTTTTCTGCAACGCTTTCAAATTTGGCAAACTACTTATGCAGGAGATTGAGTGCATTAAGTTTCTCATTACTTCACCTGCTTGCCAAAGGTGCTGCTCAGGTGAAAGCAGACACTTAAACCCAGTGCTCTTCTACCAAATCCACACGCTCACACCAAGTTAACTTCGAACAGACTAATTTCCAATTATTGAGCTACATGCCATGGGGAACAGGAAAGATCAACAGCTCTGAGATTTATTTTCCAACTCTCTACTCACTACTGCATAGCAAGACAAAATGTCATATTTCCCTGCCACTCATGAAATTACTTTGTCAATAGGTATCCTCCTTCCTTCTGCTATTGTCTTCTTGTTATTCAAATAGGCAGGATAAATGCAGACGAATCTAAAAACAGAAAACAGTGAGTTTAAATAAGTAATACCAGCTCCTTAATTGTTTATGAAATATTTTCCTAGTGAAACAAACAAAAAAAATCTACAACACAAAGTTCCCACAGCAGCTCAGAATAACCGTTTATTTTCCCTAGATGAATTAGTAAGATGTTGTAAAACCCCATTTTGAGTTACCCAGGACACTGGATGACCATTTGACTGCAACGTTCCTTTCATGACACCACCTTTTGGGGTAGAGTGTGTACAAAGAATGGTGGCTATCATACCTTGACAAAAAAAGAAGGCTGAAAGAGAATGCTCTGACCCATTTCTTAAACCCTTGAAACCCAGGAGGAAACATTACACATTTCCCTGAAAAGAACTAAAGAAGGTTTCCTGAAAAGGTTGTAGTATACACTAATTGCTGACTAAATTCCTGATGGAAACAAGAAACAGGGTTTTTTTCTGTTATGGATTTTACCCTCCCCAGCGCCCAGAACAACCCAGATTTGGGTAAGATATAAAGTCTCTGAAAAACTATGCTTAGAAACTTGCTTCAGATTTTTCAGTAGATTTTAAAGCTGTCAAGCACATACAAGGGACAAGAGGGATAGAACCTCAATCATACTCATCAGGCAGTAGACACCAAACCAGCCGAGGCCTTCACGGAGAGGCTGGAGAATGCCGATGTCTGAATGCAGAGGGAGCTGTGACAGCCGAAGAAAACGAGGAAGCAGGAGGGGAGCAAACAGTCCAGTGCAGAGCAATGCTCAGTTAGCTGCAGCTGACAAGGAGCGCTGATCCTTCCTGCCCCCCAGGAAACACTTCTTACTGCCCCTAACACCAGCCTCAGTCATCCCAACTCTATCACGCTTCTCCTCCTCAGGACCGGCGTTTTCGGGGGCATTTTCCCGC